AATGCCATGCTACCTGTGAGCTTTCTTTCCTTACTGCTGCCCGTCGAGGAGACTGTGAATGAAGCCTTGCAGAGCTTCCAGGATCCTTGGTGGGTTTTCCTGTCTGAATAACTTAGTTTGGTTTCTGTTACCCTCGAGCTCCAGTTCTGAAGAGATGTTTGCAGCTGTTCTCAGTTTGAGTTCTGACCCATCAACACATGAAGGCTCTGAAAGCTCCTACTGGGTGTGCCCGATAGGTTTCATCAGGAATTCTCAATTCCCTTCGAATCCAGGGCATCACTATACTTACATGTCTGTTAGCATCTTTTAGGAATCCTGGTGGTGTCGTGGGTTAAGCACTTCACTGCTAACTACAAGGTAGGCGGTTTGAACCCACCAGCTGTCCCAAGGGAGAAGATGAGGCAGTGTGCTCCCATACGATTTCCAGCCTAAGAACCCCCATGGAGCCGTTCGCCTCCATCCTGTAGGGTCGCTGTGAGTCCGATCAAGCCCACTTGATGGTAGTGGGTTTGGTTGTTTTGTTTTTTAATCTTTATAGAAGCAAACTGCCTCTTCTTCTTCCCAGGAGTGGCTGATGGGTTCAAACTGCTAACCTTTCGATTAGCAAGCGAGTGCTTAACCACCGCACCATCAGGGCACTTAGCAGGTACTGGTGAATACGTTCTGGTGTTTCCCAGTGTGGGGGAGAGCGGCGTCTGTGATGGGGCAGAGTGAACAGAGTGTGCTGGATCAGTCCTAGTGGTTCGGGTCGGCTCCTCCTGGTGCCGCATTCTTCAGTGGGCGCCCCAGCTCCCGGATGACCCTGATAATGTGCCGTCTCAGATCGCCTTTCTCCGAGCTGTTGTGAGTTCTTCCCAGACATGAGCTCACTGCATAGCTCAGCTATGAAGTAGGGAGGGGAGGCGGTGGATCGTCTCCAGGCTGCAGGTGAGGCGTTTTGTCTTCTCCCGGCTGATTTTCCAGATTGTACATCTGCCCTTTTCGGTGCGTCCAAGGGCTGCTTTTGAAACCAGCTCAGCTCTTGTCACCATTTTCCCATCTGCCCGTTAAGCTGTCACTTCCCGTTCTCCAATGGCAGGCTCATCTGTCCTCTCACACACAGCTCGGTGTCTGCGCCTGCCTACCACCATTAGTAACCCTCCCCACCCGTGCAGGGTTCCACACACATGGCACTAAGCACATTGGCACAGCTTAGAGTCAAGTCCATCCCAACTCATAGCGACCCCATAAGACAAGAGAACTGCTCCAAAGGGGTTCCGAGACTGTCAGTCTTTCTGGGAGCAGACAGCCTCACCTTTCTCCCTCAGAGCGGCTGGTGTGTTTGAACCACTGACCCAAGGCTTAGCCCAGTGCACCACTAGGGCTCTGTAGTGCCAAGTACAGCCAGCTTTTTTTGGATGCAGATTTTCTCTGGTGGTGTTTTGGTTCCCGAAGATGCTGCTTCTGAGAAACTTTGTGCTCCTGACTCCTTTTCCCCACCACCCAAATGGCCTGTGGCCAGTCACAGAAAGCCTGCTTCTAACCATATTTACCAAATGTTTATGAAGCACGAGATGTGGTCTAGGTGCAGGGCCCGAGGAGAGAAGGAGACCTGGTGGTGTAGTGGGTATCGAGTTGGGCTGCTTACCGCAAGGTCAGTAGTTCGAATCTACCAGCCACTCAGTGGGAGAAAGATAAGGCTTTCTGCTCTTGTAAAGCTTTGCAGCCTTGGAGACCCTATCCATGGTTGCTGTAAGTCAGACCCAGTTCCATGGCACAACCACAACCACCACCACCATGGATGAGACAGGCACATTGCCCCACCAGGCAGTGCCACAGGGATCATCTGGGGGGATAGTGGACACAGAGTGCAGAAGGGCCAGTCGGACCTGTGTCCTGTAACTTAGTTTTCAAAACATGACTAAGAAGGTAGGGTCCCTGGTGGTGCTGTGGGTTAAGCATTCGCCTACCAACAACAAGGTCAGCAGTTCGAACCCATCAGCTGTACCTTGGGAGAAAAATGAGGCTCTGCTACCATAAAGCTTTACAGTCTCAGAATTCCTAGGTAGCAGTTCTACCGTGCCCTATATTGACCACAGTGGATTTTAGGAAGTAAGAAGAATCCATTTACCCTCAGCTTAACCTTCCTCATGTCTGGAACTTGGGAACTGCACATCTGGCTGCTGCCTCTGCGTGGCGCCGTGCCAGGTAGCTCCTCTGCAGTATCCTTTGGGTGGGCTGGGGCCTTCCTGTATCACCACCCTTTCCCTGCTTTGCTCCTGTCTAGGTAGAGAGACCTCCTTTCCAAGGCCTCCTCCCGCGAAACACCCTTTCCCCGCTCAGTTACCAGCTTCCTGTATTCTCCCCTCTTCTTTGCCATTTCCTCCCCCCTCATCCTGCTGTGTCTGCCCCTCAGCCTTCCAAACTCCACTTCTCCCTCCTCATATTATGCCCCCTTGGCTGCCTTTACTTTTGTTCTTGTCTTATGGAGTCCTGGTGTGACGCTGTGGGATCAGCATTGGACAGCTGACCCCAAGGTTGGTCATTGAAACCCACCAACTGCTCCTTGGAAACCCTATAGAGGGGCGCTATGAGTCAGAACTGACTTAACTACAGCGTAACAACTCGGAAGCTAAGGGTGGCCTCTGTGACGTTCTTTGCCCTCTTCCCATTCTTCCCGTTTGCCTACAACTGTGCAGAGCTGCTCCTAACATCACAGCCAGCCTGACTCACAGTGCTCACGGTGCCTATCTCATCCCCGCTGCTGCATTTGACGTGTCTGGCCTCCCCCACGAGCCTTGCGCCTCCCTGTTCCACGCAAGTTGAGCAATGGCTCTTCTGTCTTCTGTCACTGCGTGTATGAGCTGCCTGTCTGCTCAGTGCATCCTGCAACTACCACACAGTTGGGTTCGGATTGCCATTTGTGCCAGTTTCAAAGAGTCTGTGACTCCCCTCCAGAACTTACCATCCAAGTCCATGCAGTGGGTGGCCTGTCACCTGTCTTTCTCACTCAACACCCCCCTCAGCCCATCTTCCACTGAGCCACACTCTCACCCCCACTCCCTATCTGCCAGGGTCCTCTTCTCTGCCAGAGTGTGTCATGTGTGACGCCACTTCCCCTGGAGTGGAAGAACTCTTACCTCAGGGTCATAGACACTGGTGTTCCTGGGCTCCCTTAGTGCGTGGAAGTCGTTGTTTCTGATTTTCGCACTGATTTTCTCTGAACAGGCAGAGACAATGGTTGCATCTTAGATGACTGCTCTAGTTTTTAAGACCCCAGTCATCACTCACCAAAGTTGGGTGTAGAACATTGTCTGTGTGGACTGTTAGGCCATTTGGCACGGTTTTCCCCGAGACCGTAACCCTGAGCCCCCAAGTCCAGTAACTCAGTCCATCAAGTTTATGTCGAAGAAGTTTGGTTATGTCTTACAAGTCTTCATGACTTTGTCTTCTACGTTCCACCACCACATTCATGGATATATTTGCAGTCAAGTCCAGTATTCATGTACTTCAACAAGCAGTTTTAAACAAACGTCTACAGCCTGGGCTTTGCTCTAAAGGCAACTTTTGTGCCATCTTTTCTTTCTCCCAGGAGCCCAGGTCCCTAAGGGCATGATCCTTTACTGTTGCAGCCAGACACCGAAAATTCCACTCCCACTGAGTCGATTCTGACTCACAGCTGAGACTAAATCTCTACAGATGCAGACAGCCTTATCTTTCTCCTGTGGAGTGACTAGTGGGTTTGAACCATCAACTTTATGGTTGGCCGCCCAGTACCTAACTACAGCATTACCAAGGTCTCCTTGCAGTAAGGCAAAGGGCATTGTAAACAGCAGTCATTCACTAAATAGTTAGTCAAAGAAAATACTTCATAAATGACTCTTCAGCACCTCTGCCCTCCCCTTTGGAGCAGACCTCATGATTCCTCTTCTCCCATTGTGGATGTTCTTCACAGGGGCACATCCTTTCATGGAGGCCACTGTGACCATCTTCTTCCATTAAACATCTTCAGTTTTAGGTTTATCCGCAAACCTGAATTTACCAGTCTAATCACAAGAGTTTTTGAAGGAGAAGCAGAATGTACATTTCTCTTAGATCCAGCATAAAAATGTCTTTTCGCCTTAAACCAAAAAATTTCCCCAAAAGTCTTCCTTAAGCCAAGCAGTAAGTAATAAAGAACATCTCCCATGTACATTGCACTCTGTGAAGGACCATCTGTATGAGATCAAACTGACAATAGCAACTTGAACATTTGGATAGGAATCTCGGGTGCGGTAAGTCAGTGTTAAAGAACAGTATACACCTTGAAGAATGTGACACTGAATTCTATGTGAACAAAATTGGTGTATGGTTTGCTGTGTATAGGGAGCTTCCAAAAGTTCATGGAAAAGCTTCATTATCTTTTAATTCCATTTATCCACAAACTTTGTGCAGCTCCCGAAGATATTGTCAACAACAACAAAAATAGAGTAATTTTTTTTTTAATGTCTTTATGTTAAGGAGCCCTGGTGACTCATTGGTTAAGTACTGGACTGCTAATAAGAAGGTTGGAAGTTCAAACCCGCCAGCTATATTCTGCAGCAGAAAAATGAGGCCATGAATCGGAAGTGGCGCAACAGCAAGGAGTTTGTTTTTGTTTTCTTTTTCAATCTTTATATTCTCAACATACACCACACATCCGATGGTTTCGTATAAGCTAGATACTGTCGCTGTTGATTGTTGTAAAGTGCCATCAAATCGGTTCCGACTCATAGCAACCATCTATAGGAGCCGCTGGTGGATTTGAGCTGCCACCTTGGCGGTTCAAACAACCTTACAGTCCAGTGGTTACCCTACAGTGCCACACCAGGACTCTGATTCTGTTACTAGGTACGTGCCGGTCACATAGCCAACTGGCTGGTGAACTCAGACTTCTCTGTGGTACATCACATGGAACTCTAGAAGAGCAGGCCCAGCAGTCATGACAGAACCGGGCTTCTTGTCTTCTGAAGGTGGGCTGACTGCGTGTGCTTTCCCCCCAGGAGATGGCGGTCCGCGCCCTCAAGCAGACAGGCAGCAGGAGCATCGAGGCCGCTCTGGATTACATCAGCAAGATGGGCTACTTGGACCCGAGGAATGAGCAGATTGTGCGGGTCATCAAGCAGACCTCCCCAGGTGAGCCCAGATGTGCCACGCGCCATGTGCAGCGGGTTGAGAGTTAAAGACCAGAGACGGCTCTGTGGGAGGAAGGGCAGGCAGACCCAGCATGGCAGTGGACAGTGCCCAGCATAATTCCCCAGGAAACATGGACTTGTTCATCAGCCCTGTGCCGCAGCAGAGCCCAGGGAGCAGAGACTAGCCAGTAGTGCATCAGGGAGGGGACTTAGCTGAGTGCTTGACCCTCTCCATCTGAAATAATTCGTGGTACTTACTACCTGAAGGAGCTCTGGTAGTGTAGTGGTTACGAATCGGGCTGTGAACCGCAAGGTCAGCAGTTTGAAACTACCAACTACTCTGTGGGAGAAAGATGATGCGTTCTGCTCCTGTAAAGACTTACAGCCTTGGAAACCCTGTACAGGGTCGCTATGAGTCACAACCGACTCTACGACACACCACCACCACTTACTACATGGGCTTGTTTTTGGTGTGTGTTTTTTTTTTTTAAAGAAACATCCCCAAATTCACAGGATAAAGAATTTGGCAGCCCAGCGAAGTGAGAGAGATTTTTTTTTTTTTTTAATGTTTTATTGTGAATTATATGATAGTTTACATGGGAGAACATTAGTTTTACATTCATTCTATCGTATATCATTTCATTTGCCATGATTCCAATCCCCTCCATGCATCATCAACCAACCAAAGGGTATACCCTGCAAGTCTGCTCCCTACACTTCCCCCTGCCCGATCCCCCACAGTCTTCAGCACACAGCCCCTCTCCCTCTCTGGATCTAAAGTCCCCAGCTGCTCCATCTCTCCACATCATCGTCTCTGCCTCCATCTCAGGCATCACTGCTTCTCTGGGTAGGATCCTGCTCTCGACTCTTCTCTATTGATGGCCCTAGGGACCTCCGCTCCTAGACTGGAAATTTAATCACTCCCTTCCTTGCTATAAAACGTCTACCTTTACATTTCCAACCCTCACAAACAGTCCTGATAACAATTATTCACAAGAGACCCATCTGCATTTCATTTCATCAGCTCCACCTACAGATTGGATACTAGAGAGAGATTTTTTTAAATGTTATTTTTCTCTTGGGCCTTTGGAAAGGGAGACTTCCTTCAATGATTCTAAAACACACCTTTTTAACATATGAGGGTCAGTCAAAAAGTATTGCTACTGGGGTTCCACTTCATACATGAGCGGATTGATTCCAAACAACATGTTTATACATGTCTCTGAGATCAGTGAATGGCTGCAGACAAGTTCTCTCAGGAATTCACTTCGTCTCCTCGGAGACCTGGTGTGGCACTGTGGGATAAAGCACTGGACCGCAAGGTTGGTGTGAATCACAAGGTCAGCAGTTCAAGCTCACCAGCAGTCGCTCCTTGGAAACCTTATGCAGGGTTGCTATGCGTCAGGACTGACTCGATGGCGCTTAGCAACAACAACAACAACAACAAAGTCTCCTTAGGGTGCTTTTAAAAAGAGGTGCAATGCCTGCAGGTCTGAGAGTCTCTGACCCTAGTGGTGGGGTGTGTGGTGTGGCTGCCTCCCATGAACAACCCCCACCCTCCATGATGGGGAGAGTGTCCATGGAAGGAATCGTGGTGGGGCTGTGGGTATGCATTGGGCTGCTAACTGCAAGGTTGGTGGTTCAAACCCACCAGCTCTTCCACAGGAGAAAGATGAGGCTGCTGCCTTAGAGCTTTACTGTCGGAAAACCCTAAGGAACCCCCCCTCCACTGCCCTTTGTAGGGTCTCTGAATCACAGTGGACTCACTGGCAGGGGTTGTTTTGGGGTTTTTTTTGGGAGGGATCTTGGGTATGATAAAGGATTCATATTCATGATAATTAACTAAAGGAGTTTTCTCCATGTATGGAAAGTCGGAGATAAAATCCACTTTGTCCAGTGAGCAGGAAATGACACAAGACTTTGTGTGTGGTGTCTTCATTATTGCAACAACACACACATTTCTGTTTTATCCTTGCCAGAGGACTCTCAGGAGCCCTGGTGGCACAGCAGTTGAGCACTTGGGTGCTAACCAGATAGTTAGCAGTTCAAACCCACCAGACATTTTGAGGGAGAAAGAAGAGACTGTCCGCTCTTGGAGACTCACAGTCTTGGAAGTGCTAGGGAGCAGGTTTCCTCCGTCCTGTCGGCTCACTGAGAGTCCAAATCGAATCGACAGCAGCAGGTTTGTCTTTGGGGACTGCTGTTTAAAGGACCCTCCCAGACAGTCTGCCTCCACAGACAGCTGCAGACCCCAGTGGGCAGCGCTTGCCTTTTTTATTTTCCTTCTCATTTGTTTCTTTATTCCAGGCAAAAGGAAGTGTGTGTAGAGTACTCATTCTTCAGGTCCAAGATGGGCTACTTGGACCCAAGGAAATGAGTCTGTGGGGGCTGCCTGGGTCTGCACTATGCTGAGGCATTTGTGGGAGGGGTCCCTGAGAGAGGGGACATCAAAGCAGAGTGGCGCCCAGGAAGGGGACTAAGGAGCCCGTCCTCCCAGGCAGCTATGTCCTCCCAGGGGGGAGAGATTTACAAAGTACACAAGAGTCAGGGCCAAGTAGGCAGCCGCTAGAGTCCATCTGGTTATTTGTAGAGGGGTTTTGTGTACTCGCTTTTGTTGTTGTTGTGTGTTTTGTTTTAATACAGATAAAATTCCCAGACAGCGTCTATTTCAGAATTACAAGAAGACATTTGGGCTGTGGTTCCGATTCTGTTGCTTGGGGTTAGGGAAGAACAGGCTCCGAGACATGTCTGTGGGGCCCTTAGTCCAACACTCCCTAACGATCATAGAAAAGGCACCATGATGCATGATGCGGGCAATGTTGCCCCCTCAGAGGTGGGGAACTGTACCCCAGAAAGAGTCAGATGCCTTCCGTGTGTCCTTGGGCCCCCTCAGCAGCCACTGGCCTTTGTCCCCAGCACAGGGTCCCCACTGACCATCCTTCACAGGGCCTCAGTGAGGAGCTTTGTCACCTCCTCAGCCTGGGGTCATGCTAGTGTGGAGACCGTACCTCCTCTAACGCTCCCTCCCTTTTACCCCCACAGGGAAGGGCCTGGGACCCACCAGCGTGGCTCGGAGGCCGAGTTTTGAAGGAACGAGTGACTCCTTTCCATCGTACCATCAGATGAGCGGGGTGGCCTACGAGGGACCGGGCTTCGGGGCAGAGGGGCCAAACGTGCTGAAAGAAGTACCTCACCAATACATGGACTATGTCTTCTCTGGACAGAGGCCGGCTCCCACCCACGGCCTGCCTGGCGGCCATCAGCACCCACCCAAAGGATACTGTGCAAACATGGAGGCCCCGGGGCTGAGTTTCCCTGTAACTAACCAAGGGGGTACAGCTCTGCAGCTCCCAGGCCCTCACAGCCCCAACGGCCCACACTATGGCCGATCACACCTGATGGTGCAGGGGGAACCTCTGGTCTATGGCCTCCAGCGCAGCCCCTCCTTCCAAAACAAGGGGCCACCCGAGGCAGCTGGGTACACAAACCTTCCTGCCAAGGGCCAGGGGGCCCAGCCCAACGCCAGCCTTGTGTTTCCCCCCGGGGGCATGGTGGCCGGGCTGTACCTGCCGTACCCACACCATAAGCAGACCAGCCCCTCCTCCCACCAGATGCATGTGATGGGCTCTCGAGGACAGGTGTTTGCGAGTGACAGCCCCCCGTCTAGGAACAGCCTGAACATGGACTTGTATGAGGTGAACATGTGCATGCCTTCCTCCTCTCTGTCCCGCCGGGACTCTCTTCAGAAGCCTGGCCTGGAGGCGGCCCCCCGCCCGCACGTGCCCTTCCGGCCCGACGCTTCTGTCCCCAGCAGAACCAGCTCCTTCAACAACCACCAGCAACAGATGGTGGGGCCCATCAGGGCAGGAGCCCCCAGCAAAGCCGAGCCCTCCATGCCCTCACCCAACACCGTCACGGCCGTCACGTCCGCCCACATCCTGCACCCCGTGAAGAGCCATCGGGTGCTAAGGCCAGAGCCCCAGACAGCTGTGGGGCCTTCCCACCCTGCCTGGATGCCGGCACCCAGCCCGGCCGTGGAGGGTCTGGAACCCAAGGAGGACCCCCCTCTGCCCCTGGGGGGTGCCAGTGGGTACCCTCTGGACATGGAGATGTGCTGCCCGCCCCCGCCCTACCCGAAGCACCTGCTGCTGCCGAGTAAGTCGGAGCAGTTCAGTGTGGACAGCCTGTGCGTGGGGCTGGAGCAGGGCCTCCGGGCAGGCCAGGCCACTGAGCCATCCGAGAGGAGCGACCAGGGCCACAAGAGCGCCAAAGGGGACAAAGGAGGGAAGGACAAAAAGCAAATCCAGACTTCTCCAGTTCCCGTTCGGAAAAACAGCCGAGATGAAGAGAAGAGAGAGTCTCGCATCAAGAGCTACTCGCCGTACGCGTTCAAGTTCTTCATGGAGCAGCACGTGGAGAATGTCATCAAAACCTACCAGCAGAAGGTCAACCGCAGGCTGCAACTGGAGCAAGAAATGGCAAAAGTAATTTTTCATTGCGTGCTTACCGCTCAGCCTTTGTTCTTTCCTTACCTGGTAACATAGGCCAGGGCAGAATCCCTTTATGTGTCTACTTTGTACATCTTTTTCACAAGCCTGCCTCCCAGGGCGACAGTCTGGTTATGATGGGAACAACTTGGAGAAGTTCCGAAGGTTGCAGGTTATTAACTAAGCCACCTGGTCTCCCCTTGCACCGTGACTCTTCCAGGAAAATCTGTGGAAGCCATTTGCACACCCTGTCCTTTTGTTTTACTAATAGGTGAAGCTACAAATGGGTTTTTATGGTACAAATCCAGTGAAGTGTATATCAATCCCTAGAGTGAGAATTTGACTTCAAATTGGCTCCCCCAGTTGCTAGGGCTGGCAAGTCCCAAATGCGTGGGTCAGACACTATAGGCTGAAGACCTTCTGCTGGCTCACATGGTTGCATGAGCCCCAAATCTGCAGGTCAGGCAGCAGGCTAGAGGCCTGTGCTGACCCAAGACGGTGCGAGGGGGCTGGTGAATCCAAAATCTACACATCAAGAAGCAGGCTGCAAACTTTGGTCCCAAGTACTAGGATCAGGTGATGGGAAGAGTGGGGTTTGAGAAAAGAGAGTGAGCTTTATATCCTAGAGGCAGGCCACACCCCTAAGGAAACCCCTTCCAACTCACTTAGATTCCATAATGGAAAGTGTATGTGGTGTCTCCCAAACCACTGAGAATCTGTAACCTAGCCCTGTTGACACCTAATCACCACCCAGTATGTTCTTATTCTTTAACAAAATTCATCAAGGATTACTAACTACTGGACTCCTGGGGTGGCACTTTAGGATAAGCACTGGACTACTAACCACAAGGTTGGTTGTTCAGACCTACCCGTTGCGTCTTGGAAATCCTATACAGGGTTGCAATGAGTCAGAACCAACTAGACAGCACTTAACAACAACACTTTGGGAAAGAGCAAAACCAAAGGCTGAGATTTTATAAATTGAGTTTGTGGGACATGTAGTAAGAATCCGTTTATTCTTCTTTAAGCCATTGTTAGAATCATGTTCTAAGTACCTCTTAGATGAGTATTGTTGAGTTGATTCCGACTCATTAAGACCCTTTCTAGGGTTTCCAAAGAGCGGCTGGTAGGTTTGAACCGCCAACTTTGCGGTTCAAACGGACCTTGGGGTCCAGTGCTTATACTACAGCACCACACCAGGACTCCCTTAGATGACTTGTTAATGAAATGAAATGAAAATGTAACCATACAGCTGCTCCTCACAAAGCCAATGATTTCAAGTTCTAAAAATCAAATGTGTACTCTTGCTTCCTGTGGTCCCATTTTCAGACTTCTTTCCTATTTTCCCCCGTGCCCTGTACTATTGAAATACTAACTTGCTCTTGGAGTTCCAGGTCATTGGGTGCCCCTTCCCCACCGATTTTCATTCATCTGATTTTATTCATCTGTTTTTCCTTAGCTTTAGAGAAAGAACTGATTTTCTGTTCCCTTTGGTTTCCGGATGCATGTCCATAGATAGATAGATAGATACAAAGAGTAAGTCTGTATTCTCGCGTCCTTGCATTAAGTCAGGGTCTCCTGGTTTTGTCTGCCCTGAGGCTGCTCCAATGTGACTCTTCCTCCTTGCTCTTCTCCCGCCAAGGCTGGTCTCTGCGAAGCCGAGCAGGAGCAGATGAGAAAGATCCTGTACCAGAAGGAATCCAACTACAACAGACTCAAGAGGGCCAAGATGGACAAGTCCATGTTTGTGAAAATCAAAACCCTGGGTATCGGTGCCTTCGGGGAGGTGTGCCTTACTTGCAAGGTAGACACACATGCGCTGTACGCCATGAAGACACTGAGGAAGAGGGATGTCCTAAACCGGAACCAGGTGGCGCACGTCAAGGCAGAGCGGGACATCCTGGCCGAGGCGGACAATGAGTGGGTGGTGAAGCTCTACTACTCGTTCCAGGACAAGGACAGCCTGTACTTCGTGATGGACTACATCCCTGGGGGGGACATGATGAGCCTGCTGATCCGGATGGAGGTCTTCCCTGAACCGCTGGCCCGATTCTACATCGCGGAGCTGACGCTGGCCATCGAGAGCGTGCACAAGATGGGCTTCATCCACCGCGACATCAAGCCGGACAACATTCTGATCGACCTCGATGGCCACATCAAGCTGACAGACTTTGGCCTCTGCACGGGCTTTCGGTGGACTCACAATTCCAAATACTACCAGAAAGGTATTGTCTTTTGTATGTCACTGTCATGGAACAGCTGAGACAGAGACTTACCTGTCGTTCCATCTCATTTGACATGACAGCCTTTCCTCCCTGAAGAGTAGCGTGACTGGCATGACATGATTGTGCTTGTATTTGTGTGTTTGTTTGTACGTGGATCTGAATTTCATTATAATATTTTGAAGACAACAGGCTAAGGAGTGTCACAAGACCTTCGAGGAGAGCCACTCTGTCCTATTGAAAAGAGTCGGAAAAAAGTACAATTTCCATGACCTCCCGTTGGAGTGTGCTCCCGTGTTCATTGTTTCTCTATAAAGAGTCCTCTCCTCAAGCCTGAACCTCTGTCTTTATATAATCTAACCCCATTTACTGTTTGGAACAGTCAAAAATACAGGTCATTATCTATTACCTGTATTGCTCAGATTTTTGAAATAACTGTTTTAATGCCTTAGCTCAGGCTTTTATTTTTAACTCAAAGTGATTCCTAAACCATTTCACTCTTCTGCAGGCCCATCTTGTAACAGCTAAGGTATTTGTGCTCGTATTTTTCACATTTCAGGTGCTTTTCTTAAAACTTTTCTTAAAATTCAGGTGCTGTCAGCTAATCAAAATGTTAGTGATTCAAGTCCACCCGGGGACGCTCCTTGCTTGGAGTCTTGGTGTAGCACTATAGGATAAGCACTCAACCTTAAGGTCATTTTGAACCACGAGGCTGGTGGTTCAAATTCACCAGCGGCTCCTTAGAAACCCTAAACAGGGTCGCTATGAGTCAGAACTGACTCGATGGCACTTTAACAACAGCAACAAGATATCTGTACATTGGCCTGGTAATCACAAAGAATGAGGTCCTCGCAGGCAGGTTAGCGTTCGTTATCGCCAACTTAGCACGCTGTGCTTTTCTCTTGTGGCTTCAGCCATTGTCCCCACCCTGGTGCTATCTTTGTCGACAATTGGTGCCCCAAGAGCAGTTGAGGGGGCACCTGTTTCTGTGGGGCTGTGGGGTAAAGTTATGGGCTTGTGGCGTTGTTGGATAGTGACGATTTTCCTGTTCACTCTCTCCTCTCCCTGCCCTGATTCCCGGGTGCAAGGGAACCATGTTCGACAAGACAGCATGGAACCCAGCGACCTCTGGGATGACGTGTCCAACTGTCGCTGTGGAGACCGGCTGAAGACCCTGGAGCAGAGGGCACGGAAACAGCACCAGAGGTGTCTGGCACACTCCCTGGTGGGGACTCCCAATTACATCGCCCCGGAGGTGCTGGTGCGCAAAGGTCAGTGCTCACAGGCCCAGGGCGCAAGTTGACAGTAGTTTTTAACCTCAGACTCACTGAGCCAGGAGACCCTGAGTTTCTCCCCAGACTTGACAGTCAGATCATATCGTTGTGCCCGTGGTTGCTTCAGAATTCAGTTGTTTCCTCAACAAACACGTCCCTGCATATCACACTGCTGTCTTGGAATTGCCTGGTTCCCAGAGGTGAGAGAAAACACACAGAGGCCAGTCTCAGTTTGCTCCTGACTATGGTCAGTGAGGTGGCCTTTCCTCACTAGGTCATGGGCTCATTGTGGGGCACAGTTTTCCACCTGGAACCCAAGTTGGATTTGACTTTAGAAACACTTGCACGGTAGAAAGGGAGCGCTGGTAGCACAGTGGGTTAAGCATCAGGCTGCCAACCAAAAGGTCAGTGGTGTGAATCCACCAGCCACTCTGGAAGAAGATGAGGCAGTCTGTTTCCAAAAAGATTTATAACATTGGAAACCCTATGACGCAGTTCTACCCTATCCGGTAGAATCGCCGTGAGTTGGAATCGACTCAGTGGCAATATGAAAAAAATATGATAGGAACGGCTCTTAGTGTCAAGGACTACTTCTCAGGAGGCCTAAGCCATTCATATTCAGGCTGCAGGTTTGGCTCTTCCTAGCCTGGGTTCCTAGCTAGCTTGTACCACCTCAGACTGAGTATTGCATATGACTTAAAACAGGCATTGTTTTCTCCAGTTCCCCTGGCGAGGCCAGAAGGTAAGGTTTTGTGCACACCAGTGTGCATGAGATTTGTCTCCCTTATGGGTACTCCATTCTATCCCGTGCCAGTGGGATTCTTGGGAATCAATCCAGAGATGAGACAGTCTTTCTTGGGCTGTGTGTTGCTCTAAGTCTGTCTTTGGAGCCAGTCAGCCCTGAGCACTAGTCTAGAGTTTGTTAGCGCTCATATTCCAGGGCAAGTTACTGAACCACTCAGAGTCTCATGGTTGTCAATATTGACTTTGGGGTGCAGCATATGCCTTTTCCAGTCCTGTCACCGGGGATGGTGGGAGGAGGTGAGCTGAGAGCAGCCCTTGGCCCCTCGGCATGTGCAGCTGTCAGCAGAACCCGTGGTTGGAAGTTGCTGGAGTCGTTCTTCTGTCTCCAGTGCAGACCAGGCTGGGACAAGATGGACGGGAGGGGAGAACTGGGAGATGGGGGGGACTCAGAAGGAATTGGCCTGGCATTTATTTATAAGTGCCAGCTCACACCTGAACAAGGAGTAGGCAACATCAGGACTGGGCTGTGGGGCGCTGACAGAAAAGTGGGAGAAAATCAAAGACGAACAAACCTGCTTTGCAAACCCCCACACCCCTGCCTGAGAACTGGCATCGGACCCAGCTGCTGCTGAAGCAGGGGGTCTCTGAGGAAGGGCCCTGGTCTTCATAGTGTCTGGTATGAAGAGCCCGTTTTAGGGTGAAAGGAATATGTCTAACTGTTCTTTTTGCTCAAGTCCCCTCCTGTCTTCCAATCCATAGCTCCCACTGATTCCACAACTGACAATGATCCTCTCCTGACAATGATCCTCTCCGACAGCCTTCTATAATCGGCTTCACCCAACTTGTAACGCTAATGCTTGAAAATTCACAATGGAAAAGTGGCATAGGCCTACCTCTGTGAGGACTGCTAACACCATTTATGTCTTTTCTAGCCTTCTGCTCCAGTCCCTACATGCAGGTCAATTGTTGTATGTAAATCTGTCTTCTTTCGAGGACAGTAAATCACATGCTATTTAACAGGCTTTCCTACTGCAGCAGAGAGCCCAGAAGCATCACTGAGGTGTCTGGTACACGGCCTGAGGTGGACTCTGAATTATGGCGCATTAATTACAGTAGATTCATGTTTTCTGTCCCTCCTAACACTCATCTCTGAGAGGGATGAGCTAAGGATCTGGGGTGTAACGTCGTGAACCTCTCTGTCTTGCAGGATACACTCAGCTGTGTGACTGGTGGAGTGTTGGGGTGATTCTCTTCGAGATGCTTGTGGGGCAGCCGCCCTTCTTGGCGCCTACTCCCACAGAAACCCAACTGAAGGTAACTGAAAAGGCGACCAAAAAGACAGTGGTTTTCTGATGAGTCCCTTCCTTGGTGAACGTTTGCCTACTTACTCTGAGTGGGGTAGGAATGTTAGCTGTATGTAATGGGATTTAAAAACTATTATTATCATCTATTTCTTTAAAATGTATTTTGATAAGATACAGGAGTTAGATCTGTATGAGTGTCCGTCCGAAAATATTGCTACTAGGCTTCCAGTTCACACATCCATGGATTTATTCCAAACAAAACGTGTTTAAGTATGTCTCTGCCATCAGTGGATGGCGGCCCGGTTCTCTCAGTAATATATTTGTGTTATTAGGGCGCCTTCAAAAACGGGGTCCAATCCAAATAGTAGCTTTCTGAGGGGATCTGCTGGGCCAGCTCAATTCAAGGCAGAGGGGTCAGCTCTGAAGGTTGTGGAGCCCTGGTGTGGCGCTGTGGGTTAATACACCAGACTGCAAAACCATTTGAACTTCAAGGTTGGCGGTTCAAGCTCACCAGCTGCTCCTCAGAAACCCTATAAAAGGGTCACTATGAGTCGAAACTGACTCAACGGCTCTAACAACAACAAAGGGTTAATCTTCATGGATTTTCTCAAAGGATATAGGACAATCACAAGGGCTTTTTAGGAAGACATTTTAAGAAAATTGAAAACTATATTGGTAGGAAAGGGCCAGGAAAGTTGCACCAAAGAATTTGTTCCGTTGCACCAGTACATCTGCTCATTCTTATAAGGTAGCAAGGGCTGTCCTAGGGGAAGTCCACTGTGAGACCGTACCCCATCCACCCGACAGCCCTCACCTTGCCATTTCAGACTTCTTCTTCCCAGAACTCAACATTGAAAAGGAGCACAGTTTGATTCCCTCAAGGATGTCAAAGCTGCCGTTTTGACGTGGTGTAGATGGAAGAGCACAGAATTCTTTGGAGAAGGGTTAGAGAGAAGAAGGTTATACACCACCTTCAGACGTGTGTAGACCTTGATGGAGGAGAAACAATAGCTTCACATTTTCATTTAGTAAAGGATGCTGTGATTTTTTGTAGCAGTACTTTTTGACTTACCCTTTTATGTGTGTACTTGAAATTTTACTTAAAGTACTGGTTATTTGCCATCTTGTTATTTTAAGGCCAAGACTGTGAACTGTTTTTCTACGTAGAAGCACTGAGACATGGGTTTAATTGTGGTGTTGTGTTATATTACTTAATATTCTGTGGTATTTTTATGATTATATATTGTTGTTGTTGTTGTTGTTGTTAAGTGCCTTCAAGTCAGTTCCAACTCATAGCATAGGGTTTCCGAGCAGCTGCTGGTGGTGGATTTGAACTCCTGACCCTTTGGTTAGCAGTCCAGTGCTTATCCTACAGCACCATGTCAGGACTCCCCTGATAGTATGTTGTTGTTGTTGTTGTATTTGCCGTTGAGTCGATTCTGGCACATAGCAATCCTGTATAGGGTTTCCAAGGAGTGACTGGTGAGCTTGAACCACCGACCTCACGAGTCAAGCAACTTTGCAATCCAGCGCATCATTAACCCACAGCACCACACCAGGACTCTGGCCCTTTATATCTAAATGTACTATAATTTAAGCAGTGTGTTATAATCAGCATTTATATTGTTTCAGGTTTTTCTTACCCTGAACATCTCCATATAGCCAAATCTTCCTAATCATCCATGTAGTTTACTCAGCAGAGGTCCCTAAAACTGAATTGATAAAGTCAAAGTATATGGACGTTCTTCAGCTTTTTAGTATTGTTGTATTATAGGAAGGTGATTTGATTATTAATTCTCTGCGCTTGACTGTTCCAAATACCGACTGTTGTGTTCACCAAGCCTCATCTCATTTCTTTGACTTAAGAAACTACACTACACCTAAGGAGCTGCCTACCGCAAGGCCGGTGGTTCAAACCCACCAGCGGCTCTGTGGGAGAAAGGTGAGGCCGTCTGCTCCTGTAAAGCTCTCTCTCTCGAGCCTGGGAACCCAGTGCAGCAGTTCCGCTCCGTCCTGTAGGGTTGGTGTGAGTTGAAATCGACTTGATGGTAGTAGGTGGGTGGATTATCCCCAACTGCTGATAACTGAGGAAGATTTGGCGATTTGTTTCCATAAACATTACAGTTTTAGAAGTTTGAGCCTGACCTCTGGGGTTATATTTTTAGTTTTTTACCATGCCTACCTCCTTTTCCCCCTTATCCCTCACCTGTTCACCCCACCAAAAAATGCATACCTCATTAGTAGTCTGGTTTTAATGCTGTTAAATACAACTTTTTCCTGCTAGTCACTGACAAGGAGAATATGCAGCATTGATGTTAAGCTAAATGCAGGACTAGGATTTGCTTCCAATCCCATCTTTCAGAAGTTCCCCCAAAGAACTCACTTCCCCCTTATTATTTATCATCTAACCAGTTAGTCGGGAGCATGGTGACTCTAGGATAAGCCCTGGAACTGCAAGGTTCACTGTTCAAGCCCACCAACCACTCTAAGGGAAAAAGATGAGACTTTCTGCTCCTGCAAAGATTTATATCCTTGGAAAACCCTATACAGGGTAGCTATGAGTTGGAACCAACTCAACAGTATACAGCAACAAGCCTGTTAGAATATATAAAAATATTTGTATTCTTGTTTTCTCATCAAAGCAGCAGAATAAAATATTCATGTACTTCTCAAAAACAGTGAAAACAACAGCTCAGGTTCAAACCACCCCTCTCACCAGCCTACCTGCCTCATCCATTGCCCATCCCCCGCAGCTGTAGGCAGCTAGACTTGCCTTGTTGATCCCAATTCTAGGCCTAAACATTGAAGACTTCCTGTAGGTTCTCTCTTTGAACATCCGACAGCTCGTTTCTGTAGCTGAGCACCATAATCATGTGTCAAGGGTTAGGGTCACTCAGCTTCATTCTTCTATGTGAAGTTGGAATATTTTAAGAAAAAACCCAGTGTGACCATCCATCTCTCAGCCATGTCTTGAATGAGAGCCATAGTGTTTCAACACAGAGCCTTTGCCACAGCTAAAGAAAAGATTCATCCACAGAAATCAATTTGCTAGACAGTGTCTCTATAGAGGGACTCAGTTCCCTTTTGTTTGTATTTGGCATCGTCATCCTAGGCTTCGAACTGTGAACTACCCACCAAAAGAAGTGACTTCCACCACCACCCTAAATTTTAGTGTAGTGGTTATTAATCGGGCTGCCAACCTCAAGGTCAGCAGTTCGAAACTACCTGCTGTTCCGTGTCAGAAAGATGAAGCTTTCTGCTCCTGTAAGGATTTACAGCCTCTGAAACCCTGTTACAGGGTCACTATGAATATAGTGACCACCACCACCACCAAATTTTATTTACTTTGTTGTTGAGGCTACACACTGCCTAGCTTACACCAATTCAGCCGTGTCTACGTGTACAATTTAGGGACATTGATGGCATCATGTAAGTTGTACAGCCATTCTCACCACTGGTTTCCAATGTCTTCCTCCATCATCAACATAAATTCCCTGCTTCCTAAGGTTCCGATCTAGCCTTTCACATCGCTGTTGTCAGTTGATAAGAAACACTTCCTGAAAGAGCGTATGTTCTTGGGTGATGGGGAAGACAATATACAACAAGATGGAGGTTGGCAGCAGGGGGAAGCCGTAAGTAGTGGAAGACTGGGGGAGGAATGCAAGAGTTCAGGTGAATAGAGGTAAACCCTGTGAACTGATGGTACCTGGAGGGGATCACATTCATTGTCATAAAACAAAGTGGATGATGTGTGCAATATAAAACTGATGATCTGCTCTCAAGCCTTCACTCAATTCACAATAAAAAATGGGGAAAAAAAGAACATACTGCTCAAGGCAGGCGTCTGTTACTAGTTAAACTAAACGGTTGTTTGGTTTTAGTTTGTTTGGATATTACGTCAGAGCAGTAGTTTCAGGGCTTATCCACCTTCCATAGCTCCAGAAAGTGAAGGGTCCGTGAGAACTTGAAATTGTGTTCTGCATTTTCTCCCTTTCGATCAGGATTCTTCTGTGGAATCTTTGATAAAAACCTTTGGTCACGGGAGCTGGGCACCATCCCTGTCTAACGGCCTCCTGGCAAAGAAGGCAGTGGTTCATGGAGGCAGTTAGCCAAGCATTCCATTTCTTCCTCCTGTTCCTCACACGCCTTCCTCTGTTGCTCCATGCCAATAGAGTGACCTTTTTATCATTTTTTCTAGCTTTTCTTTGTGAATTGGGTGATGGTTTACAGAACAGATCAGTTTTTCATTCAGCCATTCATACATGTTTTGTTTCATCTCATTGATTGCAGTCCCCACAAGGTAACATCACTTTCCCCACCCCCTCCCTGTGATTCCTGTTTCCATTCCTCCTCCTTTCCTCTGACCCTTCCCAACACTGTTCTTGGGTAAATGCTGCCCTTAGATCTCAAATGGTTGATGATTCTAAGGTATCCATCCCTCACTGATGTTTCAACACAGAGTTCTCCTTATAAATCTATGATTTGGTTCTCAGGGGTCTACCAATCTCTGTCTGATACGAGTAAGTCTGGTCCTTTTATATATATATCTAATTTGGGGGGTTTCTTTCCACATTTATCTCCCACCCTATCCAGGACTTGTGGGCCACCCCTTTCAGAGCAGTTGGTAGTGGTCACCAGGCACTATTTAGTTCTTCTCGTCTCGGTTCATTTCATAGCCTCTCAAATCAAAAAAGGCTGCCTCCACGTCTGTCCGTGCTTTCTCCCTTTAGAAAACAGATCACTCGAAGCTAATGTGTCATCATCACTTAGAGGCCCACATCCACACTAGGTTGGCCATGCATGTACAATGGAACTCAGGGAGTGTTCTCTGTCCCTCTAGGTGATAAACTGGGAGAGCACACTCCACATCCCAGCTCAGGTTAAGCTGAGCGCCGAGGCCCAAGACCTTATCACCAGGCTATGCTGTGCTGCCGACAGCCGGCTGGGCAGAGCCGGGGCCGATGAGCTCAAAGCCCACCCGTTCTTCAGTGCCATTGACTTCTCCAGCGACATCCGGAAGCAACCAGCACCCTACGTGCCCAAGATCAGCCATCCCATGGACACCTCCAACTTTGACCCCGTGGATGAGGAAGGCCCATGGGACCAGGCCAGTGAAGACAGCACCAAGGCATGGGACACACTTACCTCTGCCAACAACAAACACCCGGAGCACGCCTTCTATGAGTTCACCTTCCGAAGGTTCTTTGATGACAATGGATACCCTTTCCGATGCCCCAAACCCTCGGAAGCAGAAGCCACGTCGTCTGAGAGTGCAAATGGAGAAAACACAGGCGTTGGGGACCAGACTGAGGGCTGCCAGCCTGTGTATGTGTAGACTCTGCATTCCCCAGAAGCCATGTCCCCGCAGGCCCATCTGGAACATGTCTGTGGGGAAGGTTGCGGAGTTGACGCATTGATGTTACATGTGAAATCCGGTCTTCGACAACAAAGAACCAACCAAACCCAAACATAAAAGGTCTTGGAGGAGCCTAGCAGATGTTCATTGACATGCAGTTGATGGTGGTCAAGATTATCCTTGAAATGGCATTTGAAGACCATCACCACATTAAAACAATTATTTTTTAAAATTTCGTACAGTTTAAAAGAGCACTTATTTTGTTTATATCCATTTTTTCGTACTAAATGATAGGGATTAACTTTTGACAAATCATGCTGCTACTACTTCCTACATTTGTATTTTATCCATAGCACTTACTCACATTTAGGAAAAGACATAAAACCTGAAAAGCGTGTGATAAGAAAATCTGTGCAATAATTCCAACAACAACAACAACAACAACAGATAACACTCTGCTCTAATGTTACTGATACCATTTTCTTCACGCAGTAAGTTTTTATTTTATTGTACTTCTCCCACATTTCAAAATTGTGAGCTGTAGAGTTTAAGGCTGCTTTTTTGTTTTCTTTTTGCATATTCTAGTACAATAGAAAGTGTGAGCAAGATGATGATGTCAGCTGTCTGGTGTGTGGAGAATGTTGCATGAGCAGGATTTTGTTTTTTCTATTATTAAATTACCGTATCTTGCCATTCACAGCAGGTTCTGTGAAGATGTTTTTACCGAGTATCTTTAAATGAGGTGTTCTAGACAGCGTGTTGATAATGTATTGTATGGGAGATTCCCTTGCTATGATTATATTATCCCTTATTGTTTTGCTGAAAAAATGCAGATGTGTAACTGAGAAGCAATTTTGTGTGTGTTGAGTGTGCGCATGTGCACACGTGTGTGTCTTGGGGTGTGATTGGATTCTTTGGGGCATAAACTTAAGCACCTATTACATACTAAAATTGTATACATCAAAAGGGATGAATTTAGCCATGCCAAAATTTTTTTTAAATTATGAAATTATGTCCATTTCTCAAGTTTTAGTATAGGCTTCATTTTCGGTACAGCTAATATGTAGAATTCACTAGCTGTGCCCGAACGGCTTCGTTTCTTCAGCCCACACTGAAAGGTTTAAATGAAAGGTATCTTACGCATCTGAAGTGTTACCACAATGAGATTTACTAGTCTTGTGTTTCCTTCACTTTTTTTTTTTCTCCCACCCTCTGGTGTGCTGTGAAGTATCAGTTCTTAACTTGTTTTGTTTGGTTGCGTTTTTTTTTTTTTTTTCTTTCTTCCTTAAAAAATAAAACAAAGCATCTTTCCAGTCTTTGTAAAAAAGCAAGGATTATTCAGAGTAACATGGAATATGGAAATGATTTAGCCGTAGGTATTAGCAGCATAGGTGTATATATATAACTACATAGATAAACACACACAAATATTTCTTATTTCAAATTAGTATCAATCCTATTTAAAGTGATTTTATATTTTGAGTAAAAAATTCAGTTCTTTCTTGCTTTTTTAAACATTTGAAGCATCCTATTTTTCATTATATTACTCCACATATTTTATCCTTGAAGTTTTTTTTTTGTATAATGTATCCATTATTCAGTTTATATCTAGGCAACAACATTTATAAATTTATCGATGTCTAATCTTAAAAACAAAAGAAAAGATTCCTGTGTACTTGTTTACATTTGTATGAATGGCATGTTCTGGAGTCTGCTGTGCTTGTATTGGGACTATCAGTATTTTCGCTATTTGATAGTAACGCCATTTTGTTATTTGCGACGCTCTGACATGCTTCCATGTGGTAGGTTCTTTCTCAGGAACTCAATTTAACTATTATTTATTGATATATCATTGCCTTTGAAAAGCTTATTGGCACAGTTTATTATTAAAATTTTGAACCCAAATACTTCAGTTGCTGTCCTGTTTATTGGAATTTGTAACTTGTTGCTTTTATCAGCACGCTATGCTTTCACCAGCTCTCCAGGGATTCACATACAACACACACATTAATTGTGTAAATACCTGGCCCTTTGATAATATTCCTTTCTTCCCTCTTTTATATAAATGGAAGAGTATCTTATTTTTCTGCATGTTTTCTTCACCTCGTATAACTTGGCCATGTGTATATCAGCACAGAAATTCTTTATTCCGTATTACAACTGCATAATACTTCATTATCAGGCTGTGTCATGGCCCGGCCAACCCTGTGTTGATGGATATTTACGGTGTTTCTGATTCTTTGCTATTAGAAAGTATGTTGAAACTAATAGCCTCCTACAAACATTTTGTGCACCAGCAAGTAAATATGTAGGCTAGATCCCTAGAGGTAGAATCGCTAAATCAGAAGGTAAGTATTTGCAAATTTTAGGAACATTGTCAAATTGCCCTCATGGGTGTTGGGAGACACTCCTTCGTGGTTCTCCCCTATGCAATTTGCAACATGCCAAGAAGGCAGGCCCTGACCACTCTACGTGGGCCATTTCTCAAAGTTGCGTTTTCCGGGAACAACCTTGAGGAATGAGGCAACGTTTCTCCGAGTTCCGGTCCAAAGAGCAAGTCTGCTTATTGCTTGCTATCATACGGGTCGGATTCCCCAAGTCAGTGTTCCTCAGTTGCAACAGAAGCCCTCTGTATATGTAGCAAACACCTGGGGCATTTGTGATGTCCAATGCCACTGGACTTGAAGGCAAAAGGAATAGATGCAAACATGCTAGTACTTACTTGCTTACTGTGAGGTTGTAAATTCTTGTGTCTCTGATACAAGAGTTTCTTGACTTCCAGCATTCATGAAAGAGGAACATAACGTACTGTTGTGTAAATAAGATAAAATCAGAGCTTAGACCTGCCAGGGAGTATTGTGCCAATATCACTTTATACACGCATTTCGCATGCTGTATATATTTTAAACTGTATGATCACTGCATGTTGTCTTTGTTATTTTCATAAGCGCACTATACAAAAAATTTTTTCACATGTTACTTCCATTTCAATGTTTTTGTGTCTGTCCAATGGATTTGATGTAGTCAGGCTAAAACATACCATGAAATGTCCTTTAAGGTAGGTATTTTCCTAGATCAAGTGCAACTAATGTTGAACTGAATGGGATATTTTTATTGCTTTTCTAAATCTTAAACAAGTCGAAACGTGAGTTTTGATAATGTCTTTGAAATCAATAGATAAAAGTCACTAAAAGAGATTGTTTTCACCTTAAAATAGGCCATGTTAGTTGTTCCGTTCACGATCACGATTATCATCTGATGCCTGGAATCCTTCGAAGTCTGATCCCTTGTCACTGTTACTGTTGAAATGTATCAGAGTTGTCTGCAGAGGCTCTTCTGTGACGTCTGAACTGGTATCTCATCATCACTGTCTTCTTCATCTTCATCACTGAACTGGCGCACAATCCCAGCCTTTCTGAAGCCGTTGCTGGTTATTTTCCCCCAAGCATAGATTTCTATAAGCGTCTCCCACTTCAGTCGCCCTGGTGGTGTGAGTTCATGATTCCCAGTCTGTATCTATTCACCCTATTCCCTTCTCCCAGAACTCTTGAATGGGTGGCTTTAGTTTGTAGGTAAGGTCACAAGTCTGACTGCCATGTAACTCAACCAGCTGAGCGAGTAGCACTTCGAATTTTTTTTTTCTTGGGAGCAGCCATGGCATCGAAAATTAGTCAAGACTTTCAAAAATAACTCTCCATGCTTGAGCCTGTAACATTTATCTACCCATATTTCCATAACATCACAGTCAGTGCATCTTATCACATGAGTAACTCACTGGTGGGCCATGGCAATGCCTGAAAACCACTCTCTGTTTTCATTTTACCCACTCACAGTGCAGGCAAAGACTACCGTGCCCAGTGGTTTAAACGGCTACAGTTCTGGTACCTGAAGCAGCTATAGTCCTTTTGGCTAGAATGCCAAAAGATGTCAGAACCTCTTGTTATGAATAATAATTCACGTTAACTATGCCCATTGCAGACACCAAATTCAGAAATTTCTTTGGTGACACATTTGTGTAAGTGACTAGTATTTGCTCCCATTCACCTAGTTGCTGGTTTTTCTCATGGAAAGCCATTTCTTTTCATGAATTTAGAAATCCAGGTTAAACCCACCTAGAAGGCTGGGATTCCACTTGAATTTGCCAGAAGCTTTGCTTTGACAGCTTGATTTTGTTCCCTTCCAGAAATATTCCATTCTTTCCAGTTCGCCAACTCAGACCGTTTGGCTTTGAGCCACGACAGGTCTGTTTTCATGGACTGATTTTACCAGCGCCTTTCACCATCTGCATATGGACAACTCTCCCACCTCAAACTCCCTCACTGCATAATTGTTTCTTTTATCCTCGCACAACCTTCCGGTTTGAGGTCAGCTGTGTAGGACTTGTGTTTAATTCTTTTTTTTTCTTCCCTGTTTTCACTTAAAGGATTTTATTTGAAAAACAAAATACAAGTTTTTCATAGCTTTCACCGTGCATCTGAATGAAGCACGTAACAGCCAGGTTACAAATTTAAAAACAACCTGTTGCCATCAAGTCAATTCCAGCTCATGGTGACCTCTGACCTCAGGTGTGTCAGAGCAGAACTGTGCTACATAGGGTTTTTTACGTTTTTATTGTGAATTGAGTGATAGTTTACATGGGAGAACATCAGCTTTACACTCATCATTTCATTGCAATGATTACAATCTCCTCTGTTGCTTTTAATGCTTAACGTGATCCGAAAGGGTTCGAAGATTTAGACTTAGAAACTGAGAAAATGTACACCACTTAATGCATCAATGGCTGGTTCAAGTAATATGTGAAGTGCTGTCGAGTCACTTCTGACTCATAGCGAATCCTGTATAGGGCTTCCGAGGCTTTGTGGGAACTGAAAGCCTCACTTTTCTCCTGCAGAACCACAGATTCAAACTGCCGATCTTGTGGTTCACAGTCCAGTCCTTAGTAAGTATGTAATTTTTTGTTTCCACTGGCAAAAATCAGC